CAAAAGATGAAGGTCGTGGTGCAAAAACCAGACGGGAGCGTTCCTCAGGCTTCAACCCCTGAAGCACAATGTCAATGAGCTCAAGCTCACTGATCCCCAAACGCAAGACCCTTTCCACCGTGCGAATGTCCCCCACGTACTGGCTGAGAGACTCGGCTGGCTGCTGAGGACGAAAAACTCTCTCAACTTTCAGCTTCTCCATGACCCGACGGGGCATGAAAAGCTCCAAAACTTCTTTATGAAAAACATCAAAGGTGACGCCTCTGCGCAAACAATCAAGCAATCTGTCCCCCAACGGTTTCAGACAGTATGGAGCAATGAGTTCCATCAAAGTTGCGTCTGACATGCCAGGGTATTCACGCATGCGCAAAACACTCTCCAGAAAACAACAAAGACCATTCACATCTAACCCGTCCACCGGCCGGAAACCACTCAGGACAGAGGCAAGGGGATGGGGAAGTTTGCCAAAGGAGTTAGAGATGGAAGGGGAACTATGAACTTGAGAAGGAAAGGGAGATGGGGACTGGACATTCAGCGTAGCCGCAGCCAAGGTGGACGTGTGAGAGGGGGACGGTGTGACATTTGCATTTGACATTTGAACATTTGCAGGCAGCTGGAGCAGTGTACTTGGCGTAGGCGGAGCCTGGGGGGTACCCACTGGAGCCACAACTTCAACAACAGACTTTGGCACTTCGTTTGAAATTTCCAAAGAACGGTTGTCTTCAAAAATTTCGACTTTCTCTTTGACAGACTTTCCTGCCTTAATACTCTCCAAAATACCTTCCAGCTCAAGGATTCTGGCCTCCACCCAACTCTTGTCTTCATCCTGGATTTCAGGTTGCCCCAAAACCAAGAGTAGACGCTTACGCCAGTGCGTCAGCTGTGTGATAGCCGAACCCTTAGCTGAGCCCATAGGCAAACTACTCCAACTATTAATTTCCCCACTTAGCTCTTCCATCCTCTCTTTACATGCCTCCAGTTCCTCATCCAAACTGAGCGACTCAACCCAAGCTTGAGGCATGCTAGCAATTTGTCTGAACTGTGTACGCAAAGTGCGTACATCAGTTCCAGGAGTCTCCCCCCGGGACCGCACCTCGTACACCAGCTCCGGCTTCCTCAAATATTCCGGCACAATTGACGCCATACCGAGTCTCAACCAGCACTTGACTCAAAATAACAGCCAACAAAATTTTTTCACAAAACAAACACAGAAATTTAATTCCTAAGGCTTCTGGACGTTGATGCCTACGCACCTGATGGGGCCCAAAAGAAGAACCTGCCCATTCATACCGCAAGTACCGCAAGAAAAAACAACAACAAATGACCCACGAACGTACACACACACAAACATACACCGATACATACACTAGACAACACCTAACACTTGTGTGATGGGGTGTACAGACAAACCTTTTTTTTTTTTTTTTTTTTTTGACACATGACCATGCTTTTGACACTCTTGCTCCCGAAGGATGCAAGTCATTACCACCGATTCCACCCGGTGCCTCGGCCAAAGGGCGAGCTCCTAATAAAATGTGTTTACGCCCCACCACAACACAACAAGGCCCTTTTCCAAAACTGCCAGGCCAGACATTTCCAAGAAACCAATCCATCCACGGCTCTTCAAACAAAACAAAAAATAGAACGTGGACAGTGATCGCATCCCTAAGTATCCGAGTCGTGAAACCAAGTTTCACGACAAGGCACCCAAGACGCAACCCACTAACCACGCTCTGCTACCAGATGAACCATGCCCTCGCGCCTGCACCCAGACTAACGAAAAGGAAGCGTGATCCATGCGCAGGCCCGAGGAGCGGCTCACAAAACTTTACTTAACAAAATGAGAACCATGGATGGAGGCTCAAGAACAACACGCCATTTGAGAGAAACGAGCTGTAATTAACCATTTAAAAGAATAACACAACAACAATAATTAACAATAATACATGAATTAAATACTCTCAATTAAACTTTAAAAAATTTTGATACCACTCTGACCTACTCACTTACAAACATTAATTTAAAAAAATTCAAAATAGGCTAATTTCAGTCAAAGTAAATTTAATCAGTTTTAACCTTTTAAATTAACAAATTACAACAATGAAATATCTAATGACTCTTTTAATAAATTCATTTCATGGTAACTATAGAAAATTTAGGGGCCCCAAAATTGAAATTTAATAGAATATGTAAAAAAAAATTATAAAATCTAAAAAATCAACAAGTAGCCTAGGCTAAAGAATTTAAAATTTAAAAGGAATAACAATTAATAGAGATCTGTGCACAAATTAACAAAATAACAATTAAAATCCCTCAGTCCGTAGCGGTAACAATAAATTAGGTCTAAGTAACTTGCGGTAGGGCGTTCAGTTCAATGGTTCTGGGCAAGCAGCACCGGAGGGGGAAACGAGCATGACGGAAGAGGGGGGCCATGATCCAGGGGTGGCCAAGAGCAGTAGAATCCACTCCGTCAATGCTGATGCGGCTGCTACATGTTCCTCCTCACGGGCCCGAAAAGGCGCGCGTGGCGCGATAAATTTACACCATTGCGTAGCAGAACAAAAGTAAAGAACAATTAACAAAACTGCTTTGCAAAAAATAAAGCATAGAAACAGATGTTAAAGGATAAATTTGTTCTGAAAATCCTCTGCGAGGCAAACGGCTCTGACGTCGCTGAACCTATGAGTTGCTGGCGGAAAGAGTAAGAAAAACAAGACTCACAGCCTTGTTCGGGGTCGTGAAAGTGACAACGAAACACTGAACTAGCCTACTATAAAAAAAAACACTTGAACCATTGATCATGAGTCGTGACATTCGCCCGGTGGAAATAGTCACGGCTCATGTTTCAGAAGAGAAGCACGTTGATAAATATTATAAATTGATATTCCCGTAGTTAAAAAGAATTATTTTATAAACCTATAAAACAAAATCATAAAATCTTACATAAAGATAACAATAACGGAAATTGTAAAAAGGGTATAAAGATAACAACGTCATTCTTTCTCTTTGTTCTTCTATTTCTTGGGTTTCCCTTCATCACGCATTCAACAAGTTGCCATGGTTACTAATCACCCATGTCGTTATCAGCTTTTGTGACATAGCGCACAGCAGGGGGTAAAACTTGACGAAAATCGGTAAATTTTTACCTATTATTTAATTACCAATGAATGTACTACTTTATTGGTATTTGGTATTGTATTAATAATCGGTCCAAATGGCAGATTTTTGTCAAATTTTACACCAAATTTATTGAAATTTCAAGGTGAATATTAATAAAACAATTATTACCAAATATTTGTATTCATTTAAAAGATTGATTTGTGGTATTGGGTTCCCCACTGAGTGCAGCCGAGCGGCACTAATGAGGGTCGGACCTTCTTGGGGGTGAACAATAGACGGCTTATCAGACCCTCCCCTCCCCCGTGGTCTGGAGAAAGCATGTAAACAAACTATTGCACAATCGTGACTTGACATTGAGCTGCTTCAACTATAATTTTGTCAAATGAACTGTGATGTTTCAAAATAAAAAACAATAATTTGGGACCATACTGCTTAACAATAATGGACTGCAATTATTGTTGAACATTCAATCCATTTTTAACAAACTAAGATTATACGATTCAAATACAATTATAAAAATTATCTTGGTATTTTACTTGGGGTAATGAAGTTATGTAGGCTAGTGTAATTCTCGGTTCATCAAGGTTCTACTGAATTATGTTTGGCAGTGAATAAGTGTAGAATGCAATTTATAAATTCAGGGATACACACCTTTTACACAGTTATAAAGTCTAATTACCCAACATCAAATCTTACTCTGTTATAATCCAAATTTTAGTGTCAGAAAAAAACTTTGCAAGAATTGTATCCATCTTATAACTTAACAAGTTTTGAAGCTGATAAAAAAAATGGTCTTTGCCATTACTTCATCATAACCTCCAGTTTTTCATTGTCATCTGCTGTGAACAGCTGGCAAAACTACACTGTCTTCTACTAAATGCTTTTATATGTTTTTAAAATTAAAAAAAAAACAACTAGACATTGTGTTGGTTGGAAATAATTTACCAGTTTTGTGAAATTATCTTGTCAATAAATGTTTCAAACATGTTTATTCATAAAAACTCTTATCCTATTTTTAAACTACTTTATCATGGCTATTCAAAGTATCTCAGAGTAAAATAGGTAAAGCCTTTATCTCAACTGTGATTTTTCTTGACACAATCCTCGTAGTAGTAAAAGGTTTTGTTTTAATAATATGTGGTACAGTAATTGTTGTTAGAAAACCATGAATGTAGGATACTATCCATTTTCATAGTAATGTCTATGTATTAAAGTTCAAAATAATGGTTTAGATACAGTTCTGAGAAGAAAACCGCAAAAATACGGGTAGCCGTGTACCGTACCGATTTTGTACCGAGAACCGAGGTACAAAATATTGTACCGTACCGAACCGTACCGACCTTAAATTTTCTGTACCGCAGACCCCTAATAGGAACCATTTATAAATAAATATTAAACTAATCATAAATGACTACTCTTTGATTGAGAATCTTAAGGTTTTCATTGGTTGTGTGGAATCACTGTTTTTCACTAATTTAATCTAATATTTAAAAATAAATAATAAACACAAAAATATAATAAAACACCAAATAAAAAATGCAATACTCAAATTCATTTGTAACCTTCTGTGTGACTATAATCTTGGTACCCAAGTTCAATTTTGAAAGCCAAGAGTCAAAGGTAGGCCTACATAAACAAACACAAAGTCATTTTTTAAAATATGAAAAAACATACATGTATAAAGCTGAAATAGATGGTACAAATTTTTTATATTTTTATGCCTTTTATGGTGTTTTCTAAACACTACTAGCTAGTTAACTTTACTAAGAGTAAGTTTGATCCATGTCAGATGCAGAAGAAATGCGACTGGGAGAAGGTTCTTAGAATATGTTTAATAAGGTCTTCACAGACCAATTTGAGTGATGTTTACTATATTTCAGGTTCGTTCTTAATCTTGTGGGAAAGGTGACAAAATTGGCCGCTTCTTTAATTGAAGCAGCATTCAGGCTTTGCTGCCTGCTCTCGCGATATAGGTACGATTCGAGCATGGTTGCATGAGTCACGGATTTCTTTCAACCACTTTTCACCGTTTTCCTGGAGCCTGTTATGTTTTTCTTTTGACTTATCTTCTCTTGACTGTTTTTGAATTTGAGTTTACCACCTGAGTTTTAGAAATAGATAGCCTAGTAGAAGGAAGTTTCATCCTCGTCTACGAGTTTTCAAGTAAACATCTTTTTGTATATAAGTTATAGTTTGTTATTAATTGTTAAGATAACTATGAATATCTAGGTGCAATCACAATGAATATAAATACTATGCATTCCTAGGGTAATACATGTTTTATTGAACTGTCAGTATTTTTGTTATTGTTCTTCATTTTGTAAAAAAAAAAAACAAAAAAAACACTACATTTGAGATTGTTAAGTTTTATTCTTGGTTTGGTTATGTGGATGAACCTTTCTTGCACAAATAGAAGTTTATGTAGCCAACACTTTTTTAATTTTTGAATTATTGACACTTTTATTGATTGCATGTAGGTCTAAAGATTGTTACTAGCAGCTGGAGAAATCCAAGAACAGCTATCCTTATCTAGGAAACCTTTGGTTGTGTGTGATGTGTGTGTGCTTATCACAGTTTGATGTGTTGTTGTTTCATTTTAAGCTGAAATAAAAAATAAAAAAACTACATACATTGATTCACTAAAACTGAAAGCTGGTTGGGGTGCGATCATATGGCTTTGGTAGCCAACCTCAAGCTTGGCATTCAATTTACTAGCAAACCATCATTGGGAAAGTATTCACATTAGTAATTATCCAAAGACTTGTAAGTCCAACTATTATTACTTAAAGAAACAAGTTACATGCTGTTGATTCTGTTATTTTGAGGGTATAGTCTATATTTCTACAAGTAGTTTAAGGTATATTTTACCACATAATATTGATTATTCAATGGTAAAATGCACTTTAAATTTACTACAGATCAACTATTTGCAAACCTTTATCAATTGTAGTGCACTTAGCATGAATTAGTATTCAACATGTGTATACAGGGTGGAGAGAAGTAAATTGCTCTCGTTAAATTCACATTGTAGTAGGGCTGTTGGTTGAAGAGAAAGTAGAGTCGCTGTGGTTTATTGGTAACAATGCGAGGTTTATATATTATAATTTTAAGCTCACCTATCGTAATGCAATGGACACATGAGGAGTGCTCATTTCGTGATGATGTATATTTTTAGATCTCTTGCTTGATTATTGCTGTGCAGATTGCTTTTTATTGATATGCCGACGAAGAATACCCAAGACAAATGATTAAAAATCCCAAAAATATCAATCGAGCTAGAGCTGGAGTGCTAAAATCCTTGAAAAACAGCTGTTCTTTATGATAAATAATCCTCTATTGTCATTGGCAGCCCATAAATACAATGTATAATTAATTGCTACCCAAGAACATGACAACGTTGTAACCGTTATCACAATAAAAAACCAAAGTATATCACAATAATCCAGTGAGAGTTAAAATATGTGCAACCACAAAATGAGCCCTCCTCATGTGTAAATTTCATTATTACAACAGAATATCAAATTAATGTGAACCTCCCATTGTTACCTATAAACAGTGGCGGACTTACCTACGTAGCTGCTCCTAGGCCCGTTCTGCCAGCCCCCCTTTGTGTTTTGCGAAAAAGGAAAGGTTTCAACGTAAAAGTGATATTATAATTCCCGTTTTTGTCACACTTATGCATTTTTCCAAGAAAGACGTAGGACAATATGAGTACATTATATTTAAGTTGTATTTATTGCTTTTAAGAAAAACTTATATTTTGGTTGAGGCAACAATGAATATAAATAGCCTAAATTAATCACCATTGCCGTTCTTGATGAAATTAAATTAAAATGTATTCAGTTTAACTTGGATTTCTTTTAGTTTTTCTTCTAGTTCCTATGAACTTATTATTATATATTTTTATTTAATGTAATAATATCATGTATCATATAATAATAATAATATAAATAATAAAAAGAACTATATTTAATGTTAATGTTAAATGTATATTATAAAAATATTTTGACCTTAATTTCCCAATTTTTGGTGAAGAAGATTCAAAATAAGATAGCTCACAAGGTTTGTTAAGTTTGATTTATTACTCATAAGATCTTTTAGTAATACTTTTTTAACACAAACAGGTAAAATTCTTTTAAACTCGTATTTTTCTTTTTAAAATAATGGAATACTGAAATGCAATATAATGACAAAAATAGTAAACAATTAGTCAATTATCATGTTCTTTGTATTTGGAATATAAAGTATTGTTCATTGTTTAACAGGTTTACTACGAAAACCAAACTGTTAAGGAATTATGAAAGTATAATCTTACATTAAACGTTTAAGCCTTGCTTTCATGACAGAAAACTCTTCTAATGAATGTTAAAATTTAAAATCTTAACCATTAAGGATCTCGGCTTCAATGTTCAGAATTGCAAGAGAATTCAACTTTTCTTCCTTTAGGGTAGGACGTAGATATGAATTAATCCTCTTTAATGATGAAAATGATGTTTCTGCAGAACAGTTGCTAACAACAGTATACAAATACATATTCAGAGCTATATCTAAATTAGGAAAAGTATCCTCCAATTTCTCTTCTCTGAGGAACGTGCTCATAGATAGAGGGGTGCATTTGATGTTATTGCATTTGATCAATTTTGAGAAATGTACACACTCACTCCCAATTGATGACTCTAGGTCGGTATCGTAAATAAAGGTTTTGCAGTTTTTTTGCATTTTCTAAATTTACTGATGGTCATGAACGTGAGTCATCTTCACTGCTAAACCTTCACGCGCCCGTTGCCCTCTGACACGCCGCCCGACGCACCGCCTGTTACCTGCCGCGGCCAGGCGCAACTAGGCATGTGCCTATTGTGCCTAATGGTAAGTCCGCCATTGCCTATAAACCACCCAATCTTCCTTCTCTTCTACCAACGGTGCCACTAGAGAGCTTGAATTTGAAAAAGAAAACACTTTACTGAGCTCCAATGTGTATTTTAAGTGTATTGAATATTTATAATACATTTTACTCTGGTTGTTTTTGTGTAATTTCTGTAACATTGCCCTTTGCATTGAGACTGCATGAATAGTACTGTAGGTTTTTGGAAATAGTCAGTCAAGTGAAGTTTTCACTGTGTCGCCAGATTGCAGGAACAATACTGATGGCTCTGTTTTGTATTATCAATTGTTGAATGAGATTGATTGGCAATTCTTTCAGGTCACCGTTGTTCCAACAACATGAAGCTGTTCCTGAGTATAGATTTCCAACAGATCTCAATTTGTGAAATGTACTGTAAAATATAATACAAACTAAACTTTAAACTCGCAAGAGAAATTAGGAGAAAAGATACATTCACAGAAACTAAACGATTTAATTAAACTAAACTGTTAGGTCTTGCATACAATGGGTACTCTCCTAAAATCAATTCTTGATAAATTCAATGTTTAGTTTTCTTGTACTCAAGAAACTCTAAATCTGTAGTACTGTCCAAAAAAATATTTGTAATATGACCTTGTTTCTTCCTAAAGATCTATTTTCAAGCAGAGTACCAAGTTAACCCTCCAAGTGTCTCTGGTTTTGGTCTTAATGTTCGCCCATTTATTGCGCACTCGCAGGGTTTTATTAAAATGTATCTTAGAAACTTAAAAACAATGTAAAGTATACTGTTTTATCTATCATTTTGTTTGGAAAATTATGGGCTTCAATGTAACATATAAAACATTACAAAAAAATGTTCAACAATTTTTGTGGGGTTAACATTTCTCAAAAATTATAAAATAAATAAAAAAATTTATGTTTGCGCTCAATACATTGTTATAATTTATAGGTCTACAAATATTTCAAAATAGCCACTTTGTTCAGAATTTTATGAGGATTCCAAAAATATAATAATATAAGGAAGTAGATTTGCAAAAAATAAGTTATGGGCAAAAAACAGATTTCGGTACATAGCGTTTAGCTAAGAATGCATAGCCTAACCATAGCTAGGAATCTGGCTGATAATTTACATCAATATCACTACCTACTTCTTCAGGATCATCAACCAGTCCTTCAAAATCACTCAAATCTTCTTATAATGCACAACGTATATCACTACTTTTGATTTTTAACACTAAAACAATGATAAACGTAATAAAACACATCAGTCTTCGGTGCGAGGTTAACCAAGCTGTTTACAAATACGCACGTCAGCTGTCTGCTACAATTATGATCGGATCGAGAAAAAAAAGCGCTTAGAGACAGACCTCGGGAGAAAGCTTAGAATCTGCCAAATAAAACGATACCTAACTCGATCCAGTTCAATCCGATTTTGTCAGTCATAGAGCCTTCGCCTTAAACAGTGTTTGTGAGTCGAAAAATCGACACAAAACACTACATAAAGTGTGTTATGTGTCGATTTTACGACACATAACACTCGGAGGGTTAAATAGATCCTTTTCATCCCAGGGATTGCGAAGATTTGTCACAAACACAGAAAAACAAACTTAAAACAAAACTATTTTTGAATCATATTTAATATATATTACAGCTACAGAGATTATGGATGGTTGTCATTTTATGAGGAGAGGACCAGACAAAAACTACATGAATAGGATGGGGTTTATACGTCAGTCTCTAACAACATCATGGCAAAACTAAGCGTCCTGTACTGTTATCTGTCCAAGTAAAAAAATGTTTTTGTGTGTCTGTGTATTTTAACCTGAAATTACAAAAAATATGTCAAATAACACTTGTAATATTTATATTTAATATTTGTATATATTTAAACTTATACTGTTGACTCACAATACGGTAAATACTTATAAAAGATGGTAATTGGTGATCAATTTCGATTGGACACTTCAATCATCATCAGACCCATTAGGTGAATGGGTCAATAAGGAGAACAGCCCTGTTTGGTCTAAAGCAGCCAGGTGGCGATTAAGACGCTAACATTGGGCAAAAGCTCCTGCATCTGGTCAAAGACACAGGTTGACGTGCGGGGACCCC